TGGTAGAGATCTCCCCGCCAATGTTTATTTACAGTTGGAGTCATCTTCAAGGCACCATGGGTGGGTGAAGGAATGCAAGGTGGGTGTGGGGGGGGGGGGGGGGGGGGGTGGCCAGGGGTGTTCCCCTAACCTATGTGATGCCTGAAACCTTTATTTTACCAAGGAGGCTCCTGCAGGGTCCTCCTTATTCGCCTCTACTGTGGGGACTGGGGACGGGTCGGGAAAATCGGGGAGAATGAGCCTGGGGAGAAAAGGGGGTTCCATGTTTTCTGACCTGTGCAGAGCTGCCTCCATGGCAGCTTCGACTCAGATTCATAGGACGCTGCAGTTTTACACTCTGAATCCAGGAGTGTTGAGTCTCTCAGACCTGTGGGGTGTTTAAGACCGAGCATGCTTCCGCTCAAGGGCCCTCAGGATCCTCTCTGATCCTGCTGGGCTGGATTTTCAGGGTTCAGTGGGGACTCGTGCCACCCTCCCCCTCCTCGCTGTCCCCGCAGGTGGAATGCAAGGCTGTGCTGGTTTTCTTCCACTACTGTGTCGTATCCAACTACTTCTGGCTGTTCGTTGAGGGCCTGTACCTGTTCACTCTGCTGGTGGACACCTTCTTCCCCGAGAGGAGATATTTCTACTGGTACATCATCATTGGCTGGGGTAGGTCACTGGCTGTCGCCCAGAAAGGTTCAGGCCTCATGGCCGGGCATGTCCTTGGTCCTGCCGTCCGGGAGCTTCAGGTCAGAGGAGGGAGGCACTGCCCTGCCTCGCAGCTGATGGCACACTCCCGGTTCTGGGATCCTCTCTTGCTTTTCTCGTAGGGAGCCCACTGTCTGATGGAGGGGATATGCTCAAGAGTCCTCCTGAGAGGCAAGGTAGCCCAGGGTTTGGGAGAGGCATGGCCCCCCAGGAGGCCTGGGTGTGAGGGACAGTTAGGGTCCCCAGGACTCCAGGTCTGAGAGGGAGACATGCCCCATGGGTCGGGACCCCACCTCTGAGGGGTTCATTGACCCCCAGAAGCCCCAAGTCTGGGGGGGACACTGGGCCTGTTGGTGTTCCAGTTATCACGGGGCTCCTTTTCTTGCTCTCCAGGGACCCCCACTGTGTGTGTGTCCGTGTGGGCTGTGCTGAGGCTCTACTTCGATGACACAGGGTGAGTACATGCCCAAGAGCCAGGGCCGGAGCCCCAAGGAGGCTCTTACAGATGGTTGTCAGCGGCTGTCCTGATTTCCCATTAACTGTCTCAGGCAATCCATCCAGTGCTGGGCATGGCTGCACTCCCAGCCCTGGGCAGTGACTGTGCCCTGACCCCACTGTGGGTGGACGCACCCAGCCACATCTCAGCCGGGACTCAGTGAGGGAATGTGCAAGGTTTCAGAGTCCTGCTCTGCTTCTGGGCCCAACTCTGAGTGGCTGTTCTCCTTTTAGGGAGGGGAGGAAGAATATCGAGGGTGAGGTTGCATCCCCCAGAGCCCTAGGTCTGAAGGGGGAACATGGCCCTTGCCCAGGAGCCCATTGGTGCCCTCACTCCTGGGCTCCCGTCCCTGCCTTGACAGGGGAGCAGAGGGGAGGACCAAGGCACTTGAACCAGGGCTGGGCTTAGGTGTGCAGCCCGCCTGAGAGCTCGCCTTCCAGCCAGCCCCTCCTCAGGCTGCAGGAGGGGCTGGCTGGAAGGAGATGGTGATGCCCTTCCATCCCTTCCAGCCAGCCGGGAGAGATGATGCCCCCAAGCATCATCTCTCTTCTTTCTGTCTGTCTTGCAGCTGCTGGGATATGAATGACAACACGGCTCTGTGGTGGGTCATCAAAGCCCCTGTGGTTGGCTCCATAATGGTGAGTGTCCTTGGGACAAGAAGCAGGGAAGAAACAGAGGCCTGGGCTGAAAGGCAGGGGAGGAGGAGAAATAAAGAGGTCCCCACACAAACCAACCTCCCGTGGCTGTGTTATATTCTGCAAAAAGGACACACAAGTTATTTAGCTCTTCCGCGAGTGTTGGACATTTATCTTAACCCATTTTCCCTCATTATGAAAGTTGCTACTAGGAACAGTTCTGTGCATAGTTTTGAAAACGTGTGAATTAATCCCTAGAGTAGAATTGCTGGATCACAAAGGGTATTCCCATATCATTGTCTGCACTTGTAATTCCAATCATTTAAATTTTTGCACGGCCTTGTGGGAGATAATGGTAGTTTATTGTTTTAATGTGCATTTCTCCATATTGCTAGTGCAACAGAGCATTTTTTTCAAATATTTATTGACAATTTGTTTTTATTCTGGTTATTATCTATTCTTTGCTCATTTTTCTAGTCCAGTTGTTATCTTTCTTACTGTTCGATAGATAGTAATTCTTCATCTGTTATACATGTTGTAAGTATACTTCCAAGATTGCATAATTTTATATAGTCAGACCGTCAGGCTTTCTCATCATGAATTCTGAGCCTTATTTCTTTTTTCTTTTTTCTTTTTTTCTGTGGTACGCGGGCCTCTCACTGTTGTGGCCTCTCCCCTTGCGGAGCACAGGCTCCAGACACGCAGGCTCAGCGGCCATGGCTCACGGGCCCAGCCGCTCTGCGGCATGTGGGATCTTCCCAGACCGGGGCACTGACCCATGTCCCCTGCATCGGCAGGCGGACTCCCAACCACTGTGCCACCAGGGAAGCGCTGAGCCTTATTTCTTGTTTATGGAAGTCTTTCCCAACCTTAAGATATAAAAGTAGTCTTAATTGTTTTATAACAATTTTATAGATTGCTTTATTACACGTATGCCTTTAATCTATCTGAAATTTTATTTCTCTGTCTGATCTGGAATGATAGCTAACCTTATTTTTTTTCCAGTGGGTGGACCTCCACCCTCTCAGTTCTTTTTATTGAATAGGTCCTTCTTTCTCCATTATGTAGAAATGCCACTTTATGGTAAACACTCAATGTACTCTACTTGTATTTAGTTCCAGACTTCCTAACTTCATGTAACTAATTTATTTGGCTGTTCCTGTGGCAAGTTACTGTAAACTGGCAGCATGTTTTGATATCGGGTGTGCTCATAGCCCCTTCCTTATTTTTTTCCCCTTCCAAATTTTCTCGCACATCTACTTTTTCAGATGGACTTTCAAATTTGTCAAGTTGCAAATTTGTCAAGTTGCAAATTTGTCAAGTTGCAAAAAAAGGCTGGTTGAGATTTTTATAGGAACTCCATTGAATTTATAAACAAATTTGGAGAAGTGGTCTTCTTAAAATATTGAGTCTTCCTTTCCAAGAATATGGCATGATTCTCCATTTATTCAGTCTTTCTCATAGAGTCATTTTTGACAGTTTTTTTTAGTTGTCTTGTTAGGTTTCCCTTTATGGTGTCTTTCCGTTTGTGTCTAGGAATCATTCTTTCGTTATATTTTCTAGTGGGTGTATTTGTGCTGGGACTTAGGGAAGCTATTAGTTTTTGTGTATTTTTTTCTTTTCTTGGTTACCTTTTGAAGCTCTTTTATTGGTTCTTATCCATTTTCAGTTGGTTCTCATGGAAAATTACATGATCTATAAATGGAAATACATTTTACTTTTCATTTCTAATATTTATACTGTTTATTCCTTGGTTTCTTTGAGGATGGTGTTTGCTATAGTTTGGGGGAGTTACCTTCACTGAATTAGGAAAGTTTCTGTTCTTTTCTTGTTTTAGTGTTTATTTTTTAAAAGTCAGGAATAGGTGTTGAATTTTATCAAATGTGTTTTGGAGACATTAATTGATCATTTCCTTAGTGATGGACATTTGTAATATTCCAGTTTATCTTCATGATGAACAACGTTGTGGTGGATATATTTGTGCATACTCTTGAGTTATGTGTGAACATGCTTTAGAGTAAATCCCAGGAGTGGAATTTCTGGGACAAAGGATGTATACATTTAACATTCTCATGGATATCAAATTGCCCTCCACAGGCAGAGTACGAAAGTGCTCATTTCTTATGTTTTTGTTGATGTTTCCATTACTGAACTATTCACCAATCTTATGTGGGATAAAGGTCGTTCGTTGTTTTTAATCTGTTAATGTAACAAATATTAGTAGATTTTTTTTTGCATTCCTGACATAAAACCTTTATGGCTGTGATCTGTTTGTTCTTTTTGTTTGTTTGTTTATTTTTTTTGTTTATTGTTTTTTTTGTTTTTTTTGTTTGTTCTTTTAATGCACTGCTAAATTCTATCTGTTAATATTCTGTTTGTAGTTTTTACATTGTTCTTTGTAAGTTCTCAGCTTTAAGGTGTGTGCGTGGGTGTGTGTGCGCGCGCACACACTTTCTGTCCTTGTCTAGGTTTTGTACTAGGGTTTTGTTAGCCTCATAGGTAATTTGGGAGGTTTTCTTTGTAGTTGCTTTTAAATAATGAAGTAGTTTGTAAATTACATCTTCCCTAAAGGTATTTTGAAACTGGCCCGGGCGCCTTTTAATGCATATACGTCTTTGAGTACTTTTTAAATTTCTCCTGAGGTCATTGCTCTCTTCTGATTTTCTACATGTTGATTTGATTTTATTAATTTATATTTTGTTTGATTTTTTTTTTTCCTTGTGATGATTTAAAATATTCTGTACATCTGTTGTCCTCTTTCTCACCCCTAAATGTGTTGAATTGCATTTTCTCCTTTTGGACTAACATGTGCAGTTAACAGTATTTACTGTGCTAAATTCCGGGTACTGGTTAGACACTGAGCATGCAGTAGAAAGCAGCACTGACAGAACCCTGCCCTCTGGAGGATGCTTTACCATTCTACTTGATCTGTGAAAACAAGCAGAGCAAAACCAAAAAATTTTATTTTTATCCATCAAGCCTACTTTTTTTTTTTTTTTTTTTTATTTCTTTAATGAATTTTTTTTTTTTTGCGGTATGCGGGCCTCTCACCACTGCGGTCTCTCCCGTTGTGGAGCACAGGCCCTGGACGCACAGGCTCAGCGGCCATGGCTCACGGGCCCAGCCACTCCGCGGCACGTGGGATCTTCCCGGACCGGGGCACGAACCCGTGTCCCCTGCATCAGCAGGCGGACTCTCAACCACTGCGCCACCGGGGAAGCCCTCTTTAATGAATTTTTATCTTTAACTTCTTTCTCGTATACCTTAAAATTGTGGTAC